TTTGACGAAACTAATGAATAATTGAATTTTATGAATTACTATAGATATCAAAATGTCAAACTTTTTTTTTTTTCAAAAAATCAAATTTTTTTTTTGTATTTTCACATATTCATTTTTAGTATCAGAGAAATATTTTTGGCTTAGCATTCGCTTCGGATGTTTTAGTCTTCTTCACCATGAGGAATCCTCTTACCTTACTTGAATAAGGTAAGAGGTTTACTAATATTAATAAGATATAATATTTACTAATATTATATCTTACTTACTTTTGGCTCACCATAAGTTTTTCAGAGGTTTCCTCATGGTGAAGAAAACTAAAACTTTCGAAACGAATGCTAAGCCAGAAATATTCCTCTTATACTAAAAATGAATATGTGAAAATACAAAAAATCTAATTAAATTTTTTTTTGAATAATTTTGACGTTTTGATGTCTATAGTTATTCATAAAATTCAATTATTCAATAGTTTTGACAAAGTTGTGATATACAACGAAACGTCAACGAAAATAAAGTTTTCAACATTAAAATAAGCCTGTTATTGCTAAAACGTTGAAAATAAACTACCTCAAACAGGCAATAAATCAATTTCAATATATATATATATATATATATATATATATATATATATATATATATATATATATATATATATATATATATATATATATATATATTGTTTTGTTTCAGTTTGATTCATAACTGCCACATAATTATATAAACTCGAGTTGTTTTTCCTTTTTTCTATAACGGTACTTTTAGCCTGTATTCTTCATTCAAAATGCGAAAAATATTCACTCATTGAAGTTGAGAACCGCAACTGCATAATTGTAGTGCCCCAGCCATTGCATTCGCAATGAGAAATTGAATTGAAGGATTTGAATAATTGTGCAAGATTTTCACTGAAGGCTTTATTAAATGCAGTAAATGTTTCGGCAGTCAACAATTCACAGCCCTTAATTCCTCATTTCACTGTAAAATGTACTGGATGAACTTGACGCTTATTTATTCTTGAAGATTTCGGATTATGGTAGCCACACATTATAGGATTTAATTGACGAAAGAAAGTCTCTTCACGAAATGTGTTCAGAATAAACAATATTATCTTATTGACGTATAGAATAAACATCATCTTCTGCTTTCATGGGAATATAATATATTATGAGAGAAAATTGTGATATCAATTTGATTTTTTCTCATATCGAGCAGAATAACCTTCATTGAATTTTCATTTCAGAATGTATTGTAATAAAGAATGTAATTGAATCATTTTGCATGCGTCAAATGTAACCTTAGAATAAACAGTTAAAATTTATCTAGAAAATTCAGACTTATAACTCTTCGAAACGGACGTTTATCCAATGAGTATTGTTGTGTTTCAATTTCATTCCGTAAGGTGGAGTTTCAATACTTCGGCAGGTTCTTTTAAATGTTTATTGATTTGCCAAAAGAATTGGATAATATAATTTTGAATATAGTAAACGAAGCATTCTAATTACTGCTTTTATCCAGTATTGTCGCATATCTTCATATATATATCATTGAACTAGGATGAAAATGTGAATGTCCTTCATCTACATAGTTCAAAATCTAATATATGGGAAATCGACCACGAATCAATCAATAATCCATTCAATAAAATTTCAAATTCTTCTTTATTATATAAAGTTTAAATGTTTCCATCCAGAAGAATTAATCATATTCACCACCTTCCGTGTCCACCCCAACCAGCACCACCATTCCATCCACCGGCACCTCCCCAACCACCGGCGCCTCCGGCTCTACCTGCACCTCCCCAACCCCCAGCACCTGCTGCACCTCCCCATCCTCCAGCTCCACCAGCACCTCCCCATCCACCGGCCCCACCGGCACCTCCCCATCCGCCGGCACCTCCGGCACCCCCTGCACCACCCCATCCACCTGCTCCACCCCATCCACCAGCACCCCAACCACTTGGTAACGCTTGGACAGCCACAATGGCGACCATAGCAATAAGAAATACTTTGAACATTGTTGAAGTTGTATTTTGTCAAACTCTAATTGAGAATTGATACGTACTGCATATTTCATCTGAGTATTTATATTAAATTGATACCCCGCTTATCATTATCAGTAGGTTAGAATCAATTATAAGCATTTTTAGTTTATAATAATAAAAACTTGCATTTGTTTTTTGAATTCATATATATTTGTCCTTGTGGAAATATTTTACAAAACCAGATATGTTTATCGAAAGTATTATTTTATGACCATATTTGTAGTACGGTTAACCTCAGAACATTATTTCATTTTCATTTGAAATAGATTTACATATTGCATGATTTAAAAATTTTTAAAACTCATAATTTCTTTCATATGTTTGTATATATAATATCAATGACTTTTGATCTGATTGAAACAGATCCAGTTTCCATTACTGACACAACAAACACCTTCATTATATACCCAACATTGACACAATAATCGTCAAGAGTGCTTCTCACGAAAATATCGATAAAAACAATACTAATTACCAGCCACCTTGATAATTTATTAGGAATTTTATAATTCAAATTAAGTCGCAACTCTTTTTGTCTCTTCGATTCAAATTGTCTCTTTCTTCTTAGGAAGCAACTGATCGTACAACATACTAATAAATATTTCAATATAACAATAACAACCATTTGTATTGTTCTCTGTTTCATCCAAACATTTTCTTCACAATCTTTTCCTGTTCAACCTAGCCTACTGAACATTTGAAGAATACATATTTTGAACTTTCGAGTGACTACGAGTTTTTTCATATATGGTCCATTGTCGCTATATATTCCATAAATTGAAACTGATAAGTCTATTTCTAGTAGAAGATAAAGAAGAAGAGGATAAAACCTTTTCTCTTGAGGTACACAGATTTTTCCAATTGAAATTGTGTCTACTCACTATGTTATGTATTATAATATATCATGAATAATCTCAAAATCCTTTCTATTTTCAATTCGTTCATTTATTCACGAACTAAGTCATCCTTGGCTGCTGTGGATTACTCTACTATATATATATATATATATATATATATATATATATATATATATATATATATATATATATATATATATATATATATATATATATAAATATATATATATATATATATATATATATATATATATATATATATATATATATATAGCTTTATATATATATATATAAAACCCTAGTGGGCCATAATCTACCGGAGGCCTCACATATGGCGCAGAGTCGAGGAACTTGGTCCGAAGAAGTTAGGAAAATCAACACGTGATGTCACCATACCCACACGTAGGGTGAAGGACTGAAGAGATATGAGCTGACAGTTTGAAGGGTTGGCAAAAATTGTTGTTACTTTGAATATTAATATTGCAGTTGATTTATTTTTCATTCGTTGCTGATTGTTCTGTTGTTGATTTTGGATTATTTCGTATACAGAAGTGCTGTTTGCTTTAAATATGAAATGTTATTCATTCATTTAGCTTTACTTATATGAGGAAACCTATGACGTTAATAAATTCATTATTAAACCATAATAAAACAATATTTATAATTTTCTTATAATTTAATATGAAATACGCATGACGACGTTTCGAAGTACTACTTCTTTATCAAATGCTGGATTAATACTGATTTTGTATTACTGATACTGTAATACTGATTTAATATTAATCCAGCATTTGATAAAGAAGTAGTACTTCGAAACGTCGTCATGCGTATATTATATTAAATTTTGAGAAAATTTTAAATATTGTTTTATTATGGATATTCATTTTCTCCAAGTATCGGCCTCATCAATTTTATCAATATAATAAAACTGTTGTAAAAATATACAATCAATCTCAATTTTGTATCATGAGCGCTTGTTATGGAGGGTTGAGAGTGAAGAATAAACACAGTGAAATTCTTGTCAAATACGTTTCAATTGTCTGCTCATTCCAGTGGATAATCTACCAAATGTCATAACGATTCACTATTGAAACGTCATCATATCATAACTAATTTTCTCCATGAATATGGAGATTTTTCGTTCGAAATATTCTGAGTGGTTTTCATGATTCATATTGAAATTCATACCATCTAACATTTTCAAAAGTTCCTTCGAAATAACGTGGACGTAGAAGATGAACACTCACTCAAATTTCGTTTCCCATAAACTACCGCACCATATCAATTACCCAGTCAATTCGAATCCTCTATCTCTGTCATGCATCTCCCTTTCAGTGAAGCCTTTCAAGTTCGATGTCTGACGGAAATTAATTTGTAAATTCATCAGAATGCTCTGACTATTATTGTCTGCCAGGTATTCGCAGAAAGCCATCTCGTGAGTTGAAGAGAAATCGAGCAAATTGCTTTATTTCGAAATTGCTTTCACTCTTCTCAAGTTCAGCAATATTTAGTGAGCAATCGTTGATAGAATACTGGGAAGGAAGTCATTAATATCTACTTGTATATCCATAGTTGTCGTTATTAAATCATAAAATTTACATCAGGTCTCGAGAAATCCTTACGGTCCCAAATTTTGGTTATTGTAGAATGAAAATCCTTAACTAGATATTCTGTTTCATTAAAACTGATGTTCAATAAATAAATCATCTCTTAGATGCAGTTCATCAATATGGAAATGTTGATATAACTCTTCATCATTATGTAAACTTTTATAAATCACTCGAAAAAGCTTCGGTCGTTTGTCTATGAACCAATAATATTCTTATTGAAAACCCCGATTGGAAAACAATCAAACCATGTATTAAATATGCCATGATAAATAGTACACAGATTTCTTTTTTTTAAGTTGAGCCAAAAAATGATAATGTTGCTCAAGTTTCTTTAGATTCAAATACGACAATAGTCTTGAAGCCACGCCTCACGCTGCTTTGTCACATGAAACCATAAACTTTTTTTGTGTACATGTAAAAGTGTAAGAAGAAGAATGTGGTCTGTTCATAGACCCTTGTGTGCATTTTCTTAATAATTGAATAACTGCTATGCTGCTGGTCTCCGTGGCTTAGTCGGAAGAACACCCGACAGGTGCGATAGAATTCGGGTTCGAGCCCCGGTGAAGGCATGGCTGTCTTTAATTTAAGTTGTTTAATGATAACAGCTGTTGGATAATATATATTGATTTCAATGCAATAAACGCAAAACGTTTCACTTCATTTTATCTATTTTAACTGTATAAATTCTCATCGTAGTATTACGTTTGAATCACATACATTTCCTGTCATGATAGCAACGTATGTTCGAAAAAAATGTAGTAAAAATCACATAGCTAATAAAATTTATTCAAAATATGGTATTGAATATTCAAAAACAATCTACGTTATAATAGTAAAAATTTATGTGTTGAAGATGATACGAATTTAGTTTTTGATTGGGCAAATATTCTGTGTAATCGCATATATTCACGAAAAGCCTCATCAATTTTCATGTCGTAAAACACAATCATCGTACATTTCCACTTTCAAATCAAATGTTTGAGCTATTTTTCAACCCTTGTGTTTATAAATATATGCCTGAAACAATTCAAGCATTTAGTTGAATATTCTATTCTACTATTCTTAGGAACCAGGAAATCAAATATTTCAAGATTATTAGAACACTTTAAATTATTTTCATTACGATCTATTTCATTTTTCTAGAATTTCAATTTATTACAAATTAACCCTTAGCTATTTTATTAGGATTTATAGCTATCAATTTTGATATTCTTTTCAATTTTCTTGTTTCCAATTCACTCTCCTCATTAGTATGAGTTCCCGATAATACAGAGCTGATTGGTATAAATAAATTATTCGATTTTTTGAACTTATATGCGTTACGATATACTTGAATTACTCTTTTTGAATATCAATGAATAGAATGTTGTTTATAGTTATTCAATAATACTTGTCAATTACCTTGAGTGCATTGAACAATTATGAAAAAACTTCAAAATCTCACACTTTATAATATTTCATTTTCTTAGCTAATTAGGTTTGCCAATCAATCTACATGATTCATTTTGATCAAGTTTTTCAAATTATATCTTTGAGGAATCAACAATTTAGGCTACGTGTCTGATAGTATGAAATAATCAATACAAGAAGTATGAAGAATTTCAAATAAGACAAAGAGTGGAAAAGAAAGAAATGAGAGATTTGACAATTTGGAAGTATCCGAAGAATGTACAGAAATTATGGAAATACTGGATCATTCCAAATTTTCGAAATACAATAAATAACAGAAACAATAAATTAAAATTAACACACTTGGCTAACACAAAGAAGAAAACATTTTTTCTACCGTAGTTAGAATTATAATGTTCTAGTTTATTGGTCAATACTCTGAAATATTTTGTGAAACGCATTAAATGAATGATTTCGGTATTTGAAAATAAAAAGAATTCTGTGTCTCAGTACTTTCATTTCCTTTTTTCTCATTTCTCAAAAATCAAATAAGTTGATTGTATGATATTTTCGATAAGGACTTGTCATTATTTTTCGCAACAGCTGTACCTACATTCATTAGAATAAATTAATTTGAATTCGAGCTTTAAAATTATTTATGAAATGTTCATTTCAAAATAAACTAGTTCCATTATGTAATGAATAACGCATGAGTGTATTATATTTATATGAATACTTGTTCAATTATTAACGGGAAATGTTTTGTTTGGCGATGAATAACCAATTGAAATATCGATCTGAACATAATGAGAAATCACTGTAATTTCTCTTTGGTATTCCATTTCGAATAATCCAACTTGAAGTTATTTTATTACTCTCCAAATACTATGAAATTTCTAATCGTGCGGTACACACACCTCAGCCTCTGACACGTCAAGTTATTAATGGATCACATAATAAATATTGCTGTTTTATGAATTGGTATTTACTCCGGCTTATTAATCACTTATCATGTGTGAAATTCATTTCATCAGGATGCATATGATATTTCAATATGAGCCTATAAAAAAACCTCATCATTTTATAACATACTGGATTACCCAAAACGGTCGAATAACTCGGAAATTTAATGCAACTGGAAATCTTGCGGAACGAGAGAACATGAAACAAGAATTAATTTGAAAGAACATGGAAGATACAGAATTGCACAAAAAACCGTCACTGTCGAATTGCACAGAAATGGAATGTACTTGCAAATCTTGAAGATGTAAAAAAATAAAAACACCAAACAAAACTCATATTTAATAGAGCATGAAAAATTATTTTTCAGCGCTGTGACAATTTGTGCTCATTCTCTTTCAGAAAATTGGCTGGTGTTTCTTACTAATGAAGATCTCGATTATTTTAATGGCCCACTGAATCACACACATTGTACGAAAGCTCTCATATATATCTGCCAGTGTTGGTTGAATTGGAATCACGCAAGTTGCTGAAGACACTCCTTTACGAAGTGAAGTGCTGCCTTGATTAGAACCCCCAAATTTATTATTGTTTTGTCACCAAGTACATCTTCAAATTTCAGTTGAGTGCTCAGTTTATATTTATTATTGCGTTGTTTTTCCACTCATTTCAAAAACGTGGGTCTGAAGTATGAATAAAACTGAAAGTTATCGGTATAACCTGTAATTGGAAGCAGCTGTTGACACGTGTTTCGAGCTTCTTGGGTCTCATCTGAACTTAGCCTGATTATCGAATATTTTATTTATATTTTTTAAATTCTTCGTTTGGAGGTTTTGTAAAAGATGAATACTCATCTAAAGGGCGAAGTAGTTGATCAAATCTACCAAAATTACCAAAAATAAGCTTTCGGGATAAAAAAACTATAATTCTCTTTTTATTTATTATTTTTTATATTTATAAATTTTATCATTTAATTATTAATTATATATATATATATATATATATATATATATATATATATATATATATATATATATATATATATATATATAATCAGTTAATTAGTTATTCAATCCATTAATTATTAATTAATCTAAATCAGCAATTATTTAATTAATTAATTTTGAAATTTCTCTATGAATTTCAGATCCAGATTGTAAATTTTTCTAAACCTTGAAGATGATAACATTATTAATCGAATGTTCACGTTTCAAATTCAAAATGGTAGCGGAAACACAGTTTTTTACATTCACACACTTTAAAAGGCCTGCCTGACGGAGCCAACCTAAGGATGAGACGTGCGCCATAAATATTAAATAAAACTTTGTAAATCTGAAGAAGGGTGTTTCAGTTACCATTTCAACATAATATATATAACAACACATCGCTGAACCTAAATGAAACACCAAAAAATTTATTGCAAATATAAGAAATATCCTAATGATGAAAGTACTAGGCAGACTGTTCCGGATTTCCAGAGACTTATCAGTAGTGACTGCAGTAGGAAATCTTCTTCGAACTGGTAGTTTACCTACTCGAGAGATATTTTGGTTGTCACCCATTTACATTTCGTAACTAATGTATTTTACTGATGAGTAGATTGATTCACGCAGAGGTGAAAAGGTCTGTTACCGTTTGCGAGCTCGATTAGAATTTATAGAGTGATTTTTTAAGCGTAGTTTTTTTTAATCGAATAAAACATTCAATTTGCATCATATATCAAAATTTTTCATTGAAATTGATAACTTGCCCTGTGCTATTTACATTTTAAAGATAACTTCTTGTAGATGTTGTCCGCGGTTCCGTATCAAATGGTCCATTCGGAAGGTCCAATTTGACACATGCCCAATTGCTGAGAACGGTGACGAATTGACATTTCACGATCCTTATTAACACTGTACGCTACGGCTGCAATATTCTTTTCACTACGCATGCGAGACAATGGTTTAATGTCCAATAAAGTAAAATTGGTGCGAAATTTGGTGATAAGAGCACGAATTGTTATCATGACGACCATAATATGTTCGTAACAAACGATATACATTTTTCACAGAGCACGAGTTTTGATAGTAAATTTCAACAATTTGCAATCGTTCGTAGGTCTTTTCATGAGGAAATGACAAAGTATACTTGACAGATTACGTTGGGATGCCATTACCAACCAGTGCCGCCAACCTGAAAAACTTAACTCTTAAAAAATCATCCTTTATATATTCAAGTACGTATACATAGTTATTCCATACAGAATGTATAGAAATTGCAATCTACATCATTTCTTTACTGAAGGAATTCCATGAATATCACTAACCAAATTTTGTATTAGTAAGGATTTCAATGGGAGTTACTTCTTTCTGTCAATAAAGTATTGATGATAAAAATTAATCGCAATTTCCCGCTGAAAATCTACTACTCCAGACATGGAGAAATTAGACGTGAATGATGAACAAATCACATTCGTTTAGATAGTCTACTTTCAGAATTTCACAGCAATGCGGCTTTAGCAAGTTGTTCCGTTTTTACTACTGTAGATAATGTCATGGCGGCAAGGAGTACCAACCTCTTCAGGACGTTATCGGTGAAACGTGAATGTGCCCTAAACACGCTATCTAGTTGATTTATACCTGTAAATTTGGGGCAAAAATTATTCGACTAGACTAGACTGGTTTCTGAAATTGAATGGAATACTATCGGTTTAGCGGTGTTATAAATAGAATTACACATAGTATTTATTTGAATATTTTTCTTGAATTAAAAACACAAAGGTAGTAGAGTTTCTGTTTTATCAACAGTAAACAACGTTTATCTTAATGATTTTATATGAATATCTTAATATAAAATATATCAGGTGGACAACCATGCAGATCTCGAGACATGTGACTATTTAAAGAATTATTTGTGGCTCCCCATGAATGTATATATATATATATATATATATATATTTTTAAAAATTGTAATCGAAATGTATGAAACTCAAAACGCCTCCTTAATGACTGTATTCAACATATTCAAGATAAGCTTTCCATTATCAATATCATTTTGACCCAGAAAACATCGGGTAAATAAAAACCATTGCAAGAGGTTGACAAAGAAACCAAGAAGATGAAGTCATACATTTAAAATATAAGTCCACGCCGATTGTCGAATTTTGGAAATTTGTACCAAGAACAATCCTGAATTCAAAAACGCTGCTTGTCAAATTATTGCAATAGTCGGATTAACT